TAGCACCTGTGCCTGGCTCTAGGGATAGGTTCTAATTAATCAGTTGTCAGCTGAATGCTGCTGAATCAGGATCACAAAATTAAAGTCAAGGTATGACAATGGGCAAGGAAGACTTGAAGGGCCACTGCTCATTTCAGAACTTCTCTTCCTGTACTTTTCAACATTTAGAAGCTGCAGTTCAAATAACTGCTTGTCAAGACATTATTTGGAGAATAAGTAAGCTGTGTAATTAGGTTATTAAAAATATAACATCATTTTGAAGCCTTTGAGAGAGTAGATCTCTACCTAAGACAGAATAATCACAGCTTCCTCTCTCCTGGCTTCAATCCCAAGTCACAAGTCCCAGTGACCTCTCAGAAGCTGGCTTTGACAACATATATCATCTGCTGGGTGAGGAAGCATTGCTCTGAACTCCCGGACAGGTACTCACAGCCCTTCTATTTTGACTCAGAAAAGCAGGTTTTGAGAACACACACCAAAAACCACACAGCTGAAAGCTACAGACTAAAACCTCAGCTCTCCAAGCCGGGCGCTCCCTCCTGCCTAAGGTGGTGGGTTCAGGACAAGGAGTCTCCCGTTCTTCCAAACACAACTAAGGCTGAGCACAGATGACCTGTCCCTGGGGAAGGAAGGGAGGAAATCCCTGCCCCACAGCTACAGCTCTGCAGGCTAGGCCCACCTTTGTGGGAAGAGAAAGAAGGATCACTTGAAGCTGCTCGGCAAAGAGTGCACATTATGCAATTTCCATTTCTGCTGACAAACAACATATTTATAGGACAGGTAAATAAACACCGGAGCCTGCCGGGCTTGGCAGCCTGAAAACGGGAAGCTGACAGGCCCAAAGGGGGCTGGAATCATTTCCCGATGTTTGCAAATGGGATGTCACAAAAAGGAGACGATGAAATTTTAAAGCAGTCAGGAAAACAAAAGAGCAGGAATCACAATAGCCGAGTCTCAAAGAGCTGCTGCTGGGCTACAGGCGGATAATGACGCTAACCATTTTTCTACTAGATGGCAGTGTAGTGTCACACTATATAAAAGGAATTCTAGAAGGAAATTGCTTTCTATTTCAAGTGAATCTGTGCTTAGACTTGACTTCAGATAGCATGATGTATCACAGTCCCCTCATTGTAAGGGGACCTGCCATTAGTCTAACGGTGCAGTAAGAGTGATACCCTAGTTTCCCATTTCCCAGCGAAGCAGCATGAAAAGACACTATAAACCTCAGCGCCAGGGTACCTCTGCGTGCAACGCCGCGGACGGGAGGCTCGCTCTGTTCCAACTGAAGGCAGGCTGCAACCAAAGAGCTCCAGGAGCAGAGCCAGCGGCTCCTGGCTGCCCAGGGAAAGGGCTTTAGAAAGGCAGGGGCAGCATCTAGGCAACCACCCAGCTATGGCCGGGCGAGGTTAGCGACTGCAAGAGCAAGGTGCAGGGATGCGGTGTCACTACAACCCAGACCGCAAACACAAAGTAAAGGTTAGGGCTGAAGGACAATGCGAATGTTGGCAGCCAGAAGGTTAACCTTTACTTCGCAAGGTAAGCTAAACTTCAGGTGGAACAAGACGCAGCCGCTCGTCAACACTCCCCAAAAGCAATGTTAATTCCCGGCACACCCGGGGAGCTCAGTGCCTGCTGGAGATGGAGAAGCTCTGGGGGGGACGGCAGGGGTTCGGGGGGACCCTCGCCTCTGGATGACCCGGACAAGAGCCACACTAAGGGCCCCGGAGCCATGGGGCTGCCAGGCCTGTCCGGTGTCACCGGGCTCTGTCACTCCGGTCTTTCCCCACCAGCAGGTACAATCGCGACAGCCCGTGGGACATCGTTTAAAACTCTTCAGTCGCGGCAGAGCCGTGGGGGCCCTGGCTCCCGGCGGGGCTCACGTCCCACCCCGCACACCGCAGCATCATCCCCGCCACCACCGCGCCCGCCGTGTCCATCACCCGTGTCCGCACCGGGGAGAGGAGCACCCCCCGGGGGAAAGACCCGGTTCTCCCCCCGCACGGCCTCACCTGGAGGGCCGGAGCCGCACCTCCTTCTTGCTGTCCACCACGGAGGGCACGCAGTTGGTGAGCTCGGTCCAGTCGGCGTGCAGCCCGCAGCTCCAGCCGGTGGAGAAGCGGGAGAAGAGCCATGTCTCCCGCTTGCCGGGCCGGTGGCAGGTACACTTCTTCTGCCCGGCGCGGCACTCGCACGGCTGCTCCAGCTGGATGTTGCGAACCAAGTGCCGGCCGAACGTGGTGCCGCCCGTCTTCTGGATGTGCAGGAACACGATCAGGTCGTCCCCTTTGATGTTGAAGTCCACCCGCCGCAGCAAGTCTCCGGCGGAGAAATTGAAACGGGGAACAAACCGCGCCGGCGTCTCGTCCTCCGCCCGGTACGGGTCGGCGGCGGCGGCGGGGCTGAGCGCGCGGAGCCGCAGGAGCTGGCACTCGGTGCCCGGGCACACGTACTGCAGCACAATCACGGCGAAGAGGAAGAGCATCACCAGCGCCAGCAGCACCTTGTGGGACCGGTCCTCCATGCTCGCCGGGAGCGCCGCGCATCGCCGACACCGCTCACAGCCACAGCCGCCGCCGATGACCGCCCCGGCCGCGCTCCGCCGCCATCGCCCCGCCGCCGCCGCCGCCGGCCCTTCCCGGCAGCCCCCGCGCCGGCACGCCCCGGACACGCCCCCCCCCCGCGCCGGGCCACGCCCACACCGGGGTTTTTCCGGTGTCGGTGGCGAGATCGGCACGTGGCGGGGGTGCGCGCCAGTCACGGACCGGAACTGGCTCCGCGGGGCCCCACGCTCATGGACCGGGACCCGGACCGGGACCGGGACCGGCTCCCGCTCCCGCTCCCGCTCCCGCTCCCGCTCCCGCTCCCGCTCCCGCTGAGTCCCGCGCTCCAGCCATGGACCGGCTCCGCGGAGCCCCGCATTCCACGGGCCGGAACCGGCTCTGCAGAGCCCCGTACTCCAGCCGTGGACTGGGACCGGGAGCGTCACCGCCTCTGCACAGTCCCACTTCCAGGCATGGAGCAGGACAGACGTGCGGTGCTGAGCCATGCTCCAGTCATGGCACCGTCCACAGTCACTGCTCTCCTGTGCACCAGGCTGTGCTTCCCACACACGCCAGCACCCGGGTTTAGGGGGGGTTGAGTGTGTCAGATGTTTTCTTGACACCCCAAGAGGTTTCAGTTCATTCAGGTGGTGAATACATGGGGTGCATTGGGAGCAGCGTGGCAGCAGGGCAAGGGAGGTGATCTTCCCTTGCTCAGCTGTGGTGAGGCCACCTGTGGAGCAGAGCATCCGGTTCTCTGCTCCTCTGTACAAGACAAGGAACTGCTGGAGAGGGTCCAGCGGAGACCTCGGGTCTGGAGCATCTCTCATGAGAGGAGATGGTGGGAGCTGGGCCTGGTTAGTCTGGAGCAGAGCAGGCTGGGGGGATCCCATCCGTGCAGATCAGTATCTCAAAGGTGGGTACCAGGAGGATGGTGCCAGACCCTTCTGTGGTGCCCAGCAACAGGATGAGGAGCAATGGCCATGAACCAAAACACCACAAGTTTCACCTCAACGTGAGGAAGAACTTTGCACTGAGTGTGTCAGAGCCCTGGCACAGGCTGCTCAGGGGGGCTGTGGAGTCTCCCTCCCTGGAGCCACCCCAAACCCACCATGGACACGTTCCTGTGTGCCCTCTGGGTGATCTCCAGAGGTCCCTTCCAAGCCTGATAATTCTGTGGTTCACAGGTGCTGTCTCTGTCAGCATATTTTGAAACCCCTCTGCACAAAGTAAGTGCTCTGTAAATACTAATAGCAAGGGCTCTATGGGCTTATCTCTGATTAAAGTCATTTGTATATTTATATGCAAATTACATTTAGCCCTCCAGCTCCTGGCATGTTGTCAATGAGGCCTGGCACACCAGTGTCACACTGGTGCTCACCCCGCTGTGCTCACCATGTGCCACCCAGCAGGAGCGCAGCAAGAGAGCCAGGGCTTTGCCTTTTTCCCTTTGGGAGCAACTGATGCTGTGGCAGTCGATGCCTGGGAGAGCTGGAGCCTTGCAAGTGACTTTAGAAAAGCGAATTAGAGGTTTCTGACTAAAGGAAGTTTTCAGCCATCCCTGGTGTCATAGAATCACAGAATGGTTTGGGTTGGAAGGAGCCTGCAAAGCTCCTCTGGTCCAACCCCCTGCAATGAGCAGGGACGTCTCCAACCAGACCAGGTTGCTCAGAACCACAACCAGCCTGGCCTGCAATGTCTCCAGGGGTGGCACATCCACCACTCCCTCAGCCTTTCCTCCCAGCAGAGGTGCTCCAGCCCCCTGACCACTTCTGTGGTCCTTCTCCAACAGGTCCATGTCTTTCCGGTACTGAGGATCCCAAGCTGGACACAGTGCTCCAGGTTGTGTCCTTCTGGCTTTCCGAGTAAAGCAGCCAGGAGCTGGGGTTTGGCTGCCCCCAGTTTAACTGATGCACCCAACGGCATGCTGAGCTGCAGATATCACACAGATGTGCTGCATCTTTCCATGGGCCATTCCACCCAGAGCTGTATTGTGTTATATGCACAGCAGACAGCAAAGAGAATCATTTGAAAACACTTTCCTAGACCTTTATCCATCATAAAAAAGGGGGAAAAAATAAAGACTTAGCTTCTTTCTCCTCCTCTCACAGCAATTCATTGTAAGTAATGTCACCAGGTACATGCTGCGTTGGGAGGAGATGTCTTTATGGCTTTCATCCTTGAGCAGCCTATCCTGTCTTTCCTAGGGTTTTTTTTAGGGTTGTCTCTAATATTTGGTAAACATTTACACTCCCAATAATAGGCAGTTTTATCACAGAGATTCTAGGCATGAGAGCTACCGAGTTAATTTGCTTCTGTTTATATCCATAGCTCCAAAATGAATGGATGGCACCATTTAATGAAAATGCTGTGTTCTGAAACTCGAGCCTTAAAATTATAAAGATGTTTCTGTGCTTTATACCCATCACTTTCCCACAGTTGTTGATATAAAAAAAATGGAGATGTTTGCCTCCAGCGTTATTTATTTTACATTAAGAAATGACAAAGATGTGTGCTGGGTTAAAACCGATCCTGAATGCTAATACATGGGAATTAAAAGGAGAAAATAACGATGGCCTAATGTCTACACTAAATTAATATATACTATAAAAGACATGATGCATACTGGGTTGGTGTTCCCAGCAGAGCCATTATTTTGGAATGGGCTAAACAATGATCATCCTTTCACTGATGAGTGATGGGCTCCAGTCTGCTGCCTTCTCACCCACAGTATGTAAATAATGCTCCCTGGCTTTCATCCAGGGACACAAAACATTTGCTCAGGCACTAAAGAAATGAAAGTCGCCTCCAACGAGATGGAAGTGGGACAGAACAGAGCCGTTAAGGTTTTACAGCATGGACAAGTTTTGGTGGCTGCACTGCAGCGGGTTCGGGTTAAGAGGTTGAGCAAAACCACTGAGTAAAGCCAGTGCAACAAAACCTCTGCCTTCCTCCCAGCACAGAGTATCCCCCACACCCCAAGCACGCAGTCCCTATTCCCACAGCACCCTTCTGTGCTGACACAGGGGATGAGCACATTGGTATAAATCACTGCTCCTCTTCCACCTAGCAGCATCCCCTCCCACCAGCTGGTCCCTTCTGCAGCTGCCCCCCCGCCCCAGCACAGCATCTCCAGTCCCAGCCCCTTCTGTTGCTGTGGATGTGACAGCAGGGTCCAGCTGAGCTGGTGCAGGCTCTTATCTCGGGCTGACTCCCCTTATTTCCACACTGAAACGTTCAGAAAGGCTGGGGTTTGTGTGCGAAAGCACCAGGTATTTGCCCAGAGGCAGATCAATACAATGCCTGGTGCTTCAAACCCTACGTTGAGCTTTGCAGCTTTAGGAAACTATTGTTAGCTCTTTGTGCAGGACTGATCCTCACATCCCTGTATGTTTTCTGAATACCTTTGTTTCCAGAGCAGCTGAGTTTGACCTCTGCATTTGACTGGCCAGTGGTGACTGCTTAGCCCTATCAAAGAGAAAACACACATCAGCTTGGAGGTAAGCGGGCTGTCAGTGTGTAAAACTGAGCTCTGTTAGGCGTTAACGCCTCCAGCTCACTGAAAGGATGGAGGTTTCTTGTCATTTCAGTGTGAGCTCCCAGTGTCTGCTGCTCTGCAGAGCACCAGCAGGGGCAGAGGAAGGAGCGGGCTGTAGCAGCCCTGGCCAGGGATGGGGTAACCCTGCCTGCTGCTGGATGAGATCTCTTTTAAATGAGAAGGGAAACCATATATGCACAATAGCACGATTAGAATAACTTGATTAAAAGACATGCAAATGAGCCATTACCTTTGCTGTATCTCCTCCCAGTGTGATTCTTCTTATAGTACCTGTGCAGGAAGGGGGAGAAGATAAATGAAATAACTACAGAAAAGCCTCCTGGGTCGTGAAAATAGCATAGTCATTAAAACAGCAAACACAACTGCCACCAGCCCAACTTCCGCAGCTTGCTTTCATGGAGTTCTGTCTTGGCTGAATGGGTTTGTGGCCAGAGCACTCAAAACCACACTTCCCATTGTGGGTCCTCAAAGCGATGGAGCTGCTGCTCCAGCCTTGTCCTCCCATGTCCCAGAAGGACCTCACTGTACCACTTCCATAGGACATGTGCAAACCCAGGGCTTTGATACTTCCCCGAGGAAACAGGGCTTAGAAACGGAGCATAAAAGCACAGAGGAATGAGCTGGTCACTGCACAGGAGGAGAAGCAGGTAATGGCCAGCAAAGGACCAAAGAGTTGCTGTGATGGGAGAGGGGCAGAAGCTCTGCCAGCACTTCACATAATAAGACCCTTCACTAGAGAAAGGGTATGCAAATGAGCAAAGCCATGGAGCAGCAGGGTGATGAGTAAAACTAATTAGAAAATGAGGCTTGATTATTCATGGACTTGACATATCAGAAAGCAGCTAATCAAAGGAATTATATAAGTTTGCATATTCTTTGTAATATGGGCATCAAAGCCATGCTTCTTGTCACTATGGCATCACTGCCGCCCATTCCTAACACCGGGCGCACTTGATAGGAGCATAAAGTCTCATTCTGGATAACATAAAGGGTCTTGGAGAGCCTGAGATGCCCAAAAGCACTTCTGTGTTTTTCCAGCTACTGAACTGATGGAGCCATCTTGCCTTCCTGAATATGACATTGCCCAAAGCTCTTTGTGTGTGTGATAAAGTGGGCAACATGTCAAAGCTTGAGCCAAATGCCTGGAAACTCAAGGGATCCACTGCAAGATAATCCATTACAGTTTCATTTTGCTGCTGACTGATAGCTAAATAAACTTCATAGAAATCACATATGGGAAGATGGGCTCAGTGGGAGGTACTTGCTCAGTACTTGTATGGTGCAAGAAGCTTTCAGAAGCAGCTCCTCCCTAACACGTGGCATCAGAAACCATCCACCCAGGCTGTTCATTGCAGCAAATCTTGGATGCTCACCATCAGTTGGAGCCAGACAAAAGGCAGGCTTGCTTTCAGATGACAAGGTATCTGCAGTATTCCCATTTCACACAAAGAGCTCAATCCTGCAAAAGGTTTTCTAGGAGGACCCAGTGTGGGGCCGGCATCTGGATGTGTACCAAGCTCCTGGGCAATAATCAGAGATAAACGATACTGTCCCATCACCACTGATTCTTATCCCAGCATGAATTGGCTGAGAAACTGCTGAAACATCAAATTCCCTTTTGATGAGGACAGTCTGGGACAACTCCAGGGAACGGGATCCATGGGGATGAAAGGGCCCTTTCAAGTATGCCCCTGAATCACTGGGAAAAGCAAGAAGTTGAGACTGCTCCTGCCCCTGTTTGCTTGTCTGAATGATTACAGTGATGGGTATATTAATGCCATCTGGCATTAGATGCACAGGGCAACCAGGCATTGAAAGAGATTAGTGGTGAGGTGTGTGAAGCACCCTTTTGGAGGGGCTTATGAGCAGATTAAGAGGAATTAGAAAGGGTGTGAGCCAGCAAAGCGCAGGTCTGTGGGCCATATGGTCCGAGGTACTTTTTGTGTCCGCTTCCAAGATGTCTAATGCAAACCTGATAGATCTGACCTACTTTAGAGCAAAGCCTGCAGCGTTTGCCCAGTTAAAGGTAGGTAAAAAGCTAAGTCAGGTAACTTAGTGGTCTTCAGCAGTGGTTTCACACTGGAGAAGGGCTGTTAAATGAGCAGGACAAGTATTTGTTGCATCTTCCTAAAACCAAGAGGAAAATGATGTTTCCTTTAGTCCTGTGTGGAACAAACACAGTGGGATTTCATCCAAAGACACTCAAGGAATCTGACAGGTGAAATCTGCCCTTCACAGTGAACTTATTCCAGTTTAATTACACTGGGTTTTAAATAGATTTTGTTAAACTGGTCCCATCCTTTTTCCTGGACCCTCTTCAATCCTAGAGCAGTTAATATCGATTTAACTTAATTTGGTGTCCTCCTGTGTACACAGTGCCTCTTGGATGCTGTGTAAATATTCACTTATTTAAATAGATGCTGAATTCAGGCAACAGAGTCTTGTGGGATTCACCTGTGCGAGAGGGGATCAGATGCAGGAGAAAACGCAGAACATCACTGGAAAAGGTCTTAAATTTCCACAGATGAGTTTATGCAATTACCTCATTTTATAAAATGAATGAAAATAAATGAAGGTGAAGCAAAAAGAAACATAATAATAATAATAATAATAATAATGGGAGAAGCTCTGAGAGCAGCTTCTCCCCGCTGCATCCAGAGCACCGGGGCTGATGTATCCTCAGGGAGCGATCTTGCCATCCAGTGAAACATGAGTAAAAGAAGAACAGGGCAGTATGATTTTATATCTCCTGATCCTAAATTCTGGCCGTGGGGTGACTTGGTGTGGGGCCAGGGCTGGGGGCCAGCCCAGCATTTGCATTACTAAAGGCACAGGCTGCTCTTTGCATCCCAGCTTAGTGGGAAACGCTGCCAGTCCTGCATGTGCCTTAGCTGCCACTTTGCCAGATTAAAATAGTAGCAGCTATTTTAATCCGCTGCTGGAATACAGCTGAAGAAATTCCTTGCAATCCCTTTCTTCTCTTCCCAGCTGACACCAAGCTGTGTGTCAGGGAGTACACATGCAGTTCACGTTTCCTGCCTGGATCCGTCATTGCCTTGAAGAGGAGAGGTGGATTTAGGGATACTCGCTCTGTGGTGAGAGCATCCCTTCAGCCAGGAAGGGCTGAGCAGCATGGACTGGCCCCACTGTTGTCCGAGCCTCCTGCTCACTGCTTCAGAGTGGGTTTAGGATGCTGCAGAAGCCTGGAAGGGATGGCTGGGGACCAGCAGCAGCCCCACCACAGCCTCAGTTTCCCTTCACCCACCTAATGGGCAGATTTGGATACTAGAGAGGGACTCTTCATCAGGGACTGTAGTGATAGGACAAGGGGCGATGGGTTCAAACTGAAACAGGGGAAGTTCAGGTTAGAGATAAGGCAGAAGCTCTTCCCTGTGAGGGTGCTGAGGCGCTGGCACAGGGTGCCCAGAGAAGCTGTGGCTGCCCCATCCCTGGCAGTGCTCAAGGCCAGGTTGGACACAGGGGCTTGGAGCAAGCTGCTCCAGTGGAAGGGGTCCCTGCCTCTGGCAGGGGTTGGAGCTGGAGGAGCTTTGAGGTCCCTTCCAACCCAAACCATTCCATGACTCTGTGATCTGATGCTAGCGTGAGCTCTTCATCCCCCAGGCTAAGGGCTGCGCAGCGCAACATTTGCTGTTTAGATGGTAAAATCCAGTCCAATACTGCTTAAATAAGAGAACCTACAGATCACCCCTTTTGTGTCTTGAACCTTTGTTACCTGCTAATGGATCTCATCAGAAAACAAGTGGGTAGAGGACAGAGGGTTAATGCTTCTGTTCCTGCCCCGGCATGGGTGGCAGGGTCCACTGCTGTGGTCTGTACACTCTGTTGTACCTAGATGTGGTGCATCCACCAGATTACCCTCTCTTTGCACAGGTCATCTTTACTACAGCAATGACAGCTGGTTTAATGCACAGGGCTGATTGCACTCCTTTTCCTGATCATCTTCCCCTATTAAAGATAAGCAGCACATAACAATATGGTCCTAGACATTAAGGACACCTCTCAGCATCAACATTCAGCGCATCTCCTACAGGGAAGTGCATCCTCCAACTGCACAGAGCCTTTATGGACTTGCCTCGGTCCCAGGTGATACAGCAGTGATAAACTCCTGCAGCTGTGTCTGAAAACACACTGGAACAAACATTTAAACACTCTCCCAACCTGCCTGACTGATGCCTGATTGCATTTTCAGAGGGCTGGCCCTTGACAGCTTCAGGCTTAGGGTCCAGCCTTAGAGGCAGAGCTCCCAAGGCAGAGTTTGCTGCACCATCCCTATGGGGAACCCTGATGCAGGACAGGTTCTGCTTGAACCTGCCCAGGATTAAACCCAGAGTTACTCACCCTGCCCCACCAAAAAGCACTTCCCAACACATTACACATTTTCAGGAACAATCCACCATCACTGTCCAGTAACTAAAAGCTTAAAGCACTGTTGGGTTATAAACTGTCACGTCTTTGCTTGCAGTCTCTACCTATCCAAAGGTCTCTTGGCCAAGGAGACAATCTCTACTTGCCACGGGCTGTTGGATGAGCTCCATGGGTTTATGTGAGCTGAGGAGTTCCAGGAGCAACCCCTAACTCTGCATTCGAGAGACTCTGGCTGAGTTAACCTGCCAGAGCCCAGGGACTGCCCACGGGAGGCTGTGACACTGTGCAGAACCCCAACAACCACAGGAAAAAGAACTTTGGGAAAAAACAAATACTCTTTTCTTTCATGCAAAGAATCCAACTTTAAATGATCCCATCTGTCACTTTCAGCTGCACCCTGTTCCATTGGCTGCATTCTGCTCATTAAGATACATTTCAAGCCAGCAGATCATTTTTACCTGCAGGGCTTTGATGAAATGTACTGTTTGGGACTACAAAACTCCTCCATTTTTGACAGCCACCACAGAGGAATAAGTGTATGTCGCTTATGTTGCTTTGCAATTGCATGGAATGGCTTTGACCTTCCAAAAGGGAAAAACACCACATTCAAATTCATCCTCCTTTCCCCCATGGGAGTAGGAGCTGGCCAAGCCCTTCCAATAAAAGTTTCCCATTCAACCTTATATTGTAAAACCTCCTTTCTTTATTGCTCCCTCTCCACAAAGCTTCCCCTGCAAACCTGCAGCCTTTTCCAGACAAGGGCTGGAGAGCTTCTGTGTTGTGCAAATGGTTCAGATATCCTTGTTTCTTCCCTGAAAAGACATTAAAGCAATGTGTTGGATCCCTTGCCCCGTAACCCAACACAACTGTACACTGGGCGCTTTGCGTGCAGCTCCCCATGCTCTCAGCCCAAATGACTTATTTGACTGTAAGTGTAATTATGCATTGGAGTGGTTTCATGAGGGATGTGATAAATCATCCACTGCTTAGTCCTTAAATCAAGGCTTGGTGTTTTCAGTGGGGTCCTGCTCTGTGTCTGGAGCACACAGAGGCTCTCAGTGCCTTTACAGGAGGGGATATAATCACACGGTCATGGTCAGCCCTGGTATTGAGGAATTAGGGGATGGGCGGGATGGCCTTTGTCATGCAGGATGTAGGATTAGTTGGACTTAATGGTCTGGTTTGGCCTTTACGTGTATGAATAGGGAAAAGGAAAGAGGAAAACAAACCCAAACAGAACAAAGGTCCCTATTCTAACCAGCATGTTTCCGCCTCCTGACAGTGGAGCCGGAGAGACTGCAGGCAGTTGGGGCTGGAAATGAGTGGTGGGGAGAACCAAGGGCACCCCTGTACAGTGCCCCCTGCACCCAGAGCCCCCCCAAACCACCTCTTGCCAGCAAACCCAGGAGCCCAAACCCACGGGGATTTGCTGACATCCTGCAGGGAAGAGCAGACGTGAGGACACGCACCACATTCAGTTGATTTTCACACACACACACCCCCCTTGAGGTCATTTTTGGTGTTCCAGAACTAGAAATCTAATGCTTTTTCCCCTCTCTATTCCTCAATTGAGCTAATTAAAAATTATTTCTGGTGGACATTATCTTATTGCATAATTAGAGGAGCTTAAGTGCAGTGCTTTGGTTGGTACCAATCCCTTTTGCTCCAGTCGTGTTTCATTAATTGAACAGAGCTTAGGTAGGTGCTTATAAGCTCAGGAGTTAACTATCTGCTCTTAAAGCACTCAATTGTCCCTTGCAACTGTACCTGCTCTAAGCCTGCAGGCATTATAACACAATAATAGCGATTACACCCGTGATCCACATGGGAATTTCAGGGACTATAAGCAGCTCTTGTAGACACCAGTGCAGAACGACTCCACACAGGAAACACAAAGGATCCTCATTGCAAAACCCAAACCCTACCTGCCACCTGGCTGATACCATCAGCTTAACCATGGTTATTTCGTTATTAAAGACTCCCAGGTCTTTATTAAGTCCCAAAGAACCTTTGCATAGACTACACTGGTATTACTCTGCCATACGTTTTAAAGAGATTACTGTTAATTAATTTAACTCTTCTACATACCTAAAACTCAGCTAAACCCTCTATTGTGCTCTCTGCTGTCACTGCAGACGTGTTGGACTTCCCAACTCCCATACAAATAGAGATGGATTAAAACCATCTACTCAGATATAAAATCACCTGAGAAATAAGTTGGCTTTCAACACCTCCCACAGCACCCTGTGAGGGGGAGCTGCCTGGGGTTATCCATCCCACCAGGAGTCAGCTTCCCTCTGGGATACAGGCCCCGTGCTTTCCAAAGACACTAAATAAAACATAAACCCCACAATTTGTCTGCTCCTGGGGCTGAGGTACCCAAACCAGCCAACATAAATCACTTGCAACATTTATGATCTACTGACATGTTTCCCTCCTAAAATAGGAACCTGACACACATAAATCCTCACAAATGCTTCTCTGGAGAGGAGCCGAGCAGCTGAGGCTGTGCTGGCCCTTCCTGTGACCCACACTGAGCATGGGGGGCTGGCACAAGGGATGCTGCCAAAACAGCATCTCACTGCCAACCCTCTGCTGTGCTCTGGGGAGACCCCCCCCCCGCAGCCCTGATCCAGCTCTGGGGCAGCAGCACAAGAGGGACCTGGAGCTGTTGGAGCGAGTGCAGAGGAGGCCATGGAGATGCTGCGAGGGCTGGAGCAGCTCTGCTCTGGAGCCAGGCTGAGCTCTGGGTGTGCTGTACCCACCATATGGTCACTGCCATGGTGAGAGCTTCACGTCCCTGCAGGACCTCTGCCAGTGCCTCACCACCTTCACAGTAAAGATCTTCTTCCCTATCTCCAACCAGAACTCCTCCTGTTTCAGTGTGAACCCATCACCCCTTGTCCTATCACTGCAGTCCCTGATGAAGAGTCCCTCTCCAGCATCCTTGTAGCCCCTTCAGACACTGGAAGCTGCTCTGAGGTCACCATGCAGTCTCTCTTCTCCAGGCTGTACAGCTCTAAGCAATAATTCATGTCCAGAGGACTCAGTAACTGCACAAGGTGAATCCCAGCAGCCCTCTCTGGGGTTACTTTACACACTGGCCCATCAGCTAAAGCCTTGCAGGGCAGGCATCCCAAGCCCCTGAACTTCTCCATACCCCTCCTCTGCAGTTTCTCCAGTTAAACTGGGATGAGCCAGATCTGGTAGCACAGGTCTAGGTCTTGCTCTGTACTTTCTCACATCCATCCCACTCCCTTGGAGCCAGCCCCAGGCCACCTCTGAAGCTGACACAGGGATCTTCCACGCATCTCTGACAGCAGCACCATGGCACACAGTGGGCAGAGAAGAGGAGCCGTTCAGTTATGATTTATCCCATTCACCAAGTTGCCTGAAAGCTTCAGAAGTGCCTTTAATGCAGGCATTAAAGCAGTGACACCGGCAGTTGCTCAGCAGATGTTCATGATTTGGTGGCATCCAGCTATGTCCTAGAGCATTTGAAGCCTCCAGCCTGAGCAAAGTCCTCCATCTCCACTTAACGCCTTGCTTTACATGGCAAAACAGCTCTCCCTAATATCCCTGCAGCACACCAAACAGCCTTGCTGTTGGGCCTCAAATTTCTGTGTGATTGGTAATCAGTGCATCAGCCATCAGAAGTGGGTTATTAAAATATCTGCCATGATGAACAATGCAAAATAAATGCAGATAAATTGTATTACTCCGGGTCATTTAGTTTTAAGTGCAGCAACCTCTGTGGGTTTTTTTGCCTCTTAGGCAACATGCAGCATGAAACAGCACAAATAAATACAGATGTAGAGAACATTAGATACACTTTGTAGGAGCAAATTATGCACGTTCCCATTTCATTCTGGTTATACCCAAATTAGATGGTTTTCCTCCATTATCTCACTGGATACACTAAAAGCCAGTGATTTATGAGAGAAACCGGTGTGAATGCCATTATAATTGATTAACCTAAGAGAATCGTGACCTACTTATAGATATACAAATATGATTATAATTGTGCAGTAAGTAATTGAGTGTTCTGCAGGACTTCTTTATAATGTGACTATAATGCATAAAACCAAGAGGGACAGAAAAGGCTTCCACCCTGTGCAATGCACGGGGATTTTAGGAGAGGTTCTGAGTGCTTCCTGCTCCTGGGGAGGTGAATAGGTGTTGAGACCCTGCAGAATCAACCCCCTCCTGAACAGCAGCATTTCCCATAAATAGCCTATTTGTTATTTAGATAAATAACTTGGAAGAAAGGTTCCAGTGTACTTTGTGGCTGGGATAGCTTTCAACACACTGAGCAGAGCCCATCGCATGTGGATTCTACGTGTAGCTCCCTCCCAGTTCCCCACTGCTGGAGCATCTTCTCAAGTTCTACCTTTGGGTCAAGGAAGAGGGAGGCAGGTCCTGATCAGAAGCTGTGTAGCTATAAAATGGGGCTATAGGTCCATATTTCAAACCACCACCCCTTTTGCAGTGGGACTCAGCACCACTGCAGTGGGTTTGGGAACCTTCTGAACCTCAGGTCTCTATCCGCTGTGACAGAGTCCACCACTGCTGCTATGTCTGCTAACGGGTGTCTTTGTGTCACAGTCACCAGCAGGACACAACAGAGAACAAGAGCATCTCACTGCATGCAGTAGTTTTCAATCCACATACAGAACAGGGAGCAACAGAGGGAGACAGTCCCCAGGCACTGGCAGCTCATGGGTTCGAGCCCAAAGACTTTACCTTGACCATGCATTTGGCTCTAACCATGCAAGCCCAGGTGATGCTTCTTGCTAATTCAGTCTCCCAGCCTGCATCCTGCTGGACCACGCAGCAGCATCACCCAGCCCACAGCTGCATGGAGGCTCTCACAGCATCATTATTTGTCACAGATTTTCCTGTCTCTTTTGCTGCCAGTCACTTCCTCCGACTCAGTTTGTCCAAACTGCTCTGCACAGAGACGGGGGCAGAGCTAACCTCTGACCATGGCACACGCTCTCTGCAGAACAGTATCCCACATTCCCAGTTTGAATGGCTAAATATATTGAAGCCCAGTGATGAATTATTTAAAATCTCTACAATTTTCAATGCTGCACACTGAATTAGAGACTTGAATGCACCTCTGCAATCATGAGCCTATGGCTCCATCACAGAAAAGCATCCATTTAAACCCCCTGGGACAAATGAGCTGTTACAATTCCCTGGACTGGAAACCCTGGAGATGATGAGAGAGCCAGGACTTGCTAGGATGTGATTGAGTTAATTAGCACTGCGTCTGAGGAGAGCCGTAACAGCGTAATGAAACAAACAGAATTCAAGCAGTCTAAAATGACTCCAGTGGATTGATGGGCACTGTGGAACGGTCAGGATTATACCCATGTGTGCAGGGTGATGCATTCATCGTGCATTGCTCACACTGGGGGAGATGGATGGGGAAGAGGGTGCTGGTAGGGTCATTGCAGCCCTGCAAGAGCTTTCTGGTGCAACACATGCTTGGGGCAGAAAGGTGGAAACCATTTGCTTGCCACAGCACAACTGGCTCAGTGTCAGCCCTTCCTATGGACAGACAAAGAAGCCACCAATCCCTACATCCTCATGTGGAGTGAGGTCCAGCACACTCAGCTCCTGCAGAAGCCGCAGTCAGGGATGCAGTGTTGCACCAGGAATGCCTGGCTCCCCAAGGATAACCCTGCCCTCAGCTTCTGCAGTCCTAAGGGCATCCCACTGCTGGTGAGGGGCCCTAGAAGGGCTTGGGGAACTCCTATTCTTGGGGAACTCCCTCTGCATCATGCCCCGGCCTCTTATCAAGCACTG